CGGTGTCTGCCACTGCAGGGCAACACATGAGACGGTGTCTGCCACTGCAGGGCAACACATGAGACGGTGTCTGCCACTGCAGGGCAACACATGAGACCGTGTCTGACACTGCAGGGCAACACATGAGACCGTGTCTGACACTGCAGGGCAACACATGAGACGGTGTCTGACACTGCAGAGCAACACAGCACAAACATGGGAAAATGTTTTGTGACATTTTCATATCTGTTGAATACCTGTTTCAGGGAAAAAAAAATCCATAGAAATTAAGGACTGGTAAAGTGGCTTCTTTAGAAAAAAGTATGAACAGTTGTAGATGTTTAGTTTTAACAAATTTAAAACTAGTAATAACCAAGGGGAGTTTAGATTTAAATGTAATAGTGCTTCATATACTATCCATATATATAGCATGATACCCTGGAAACAGCAGCAGTGGGTGACCGGGGGGTGGCAGTGTCTGTCTCACCCCAGTGATGCCGCGGTGATGAAGACCACCCATAAGTGTCCAAGGTCCAGAGTGAAAGTGTAGACCAGCATCCCCACAAATGTCATGAAGTACACAGCCAGCGTTGTCTGCCTGAGACACACAAAAGACCAAATTGCTAGGGAGGAAAGCTGCAGGATGTGGTGGCACAGAGAAACAGCTAGACAGGCAAGTGTGAAAGCCCACAGAGGACAACAAACAAGGTATCAGGAAAGCTGAAAAACTCAGATTTGGAGATATTTTGTGGAAGACCTCTGCTGTGCATTCCTCGATCTAATCAAGTTTGTCAAAGAGCTTGGCAAAATCTCCTTTCATCTCTGGGGCTCCTATTTACAGAGGCATACCAGCTTTAATCTGGCTTTTAGCTACGAATATGTCATAATAACTGTCCTCTTTTGGCAACCAATCAACATGTCCCTACTAGGCCCGAACTTAGACAGCCAACAAAGCAAGAGAGGTGCAGCTTTAGCAAGACATTTAAAAAGCCCGGTACTTCAAATGAATCTAAAAGTTGGATCACATCAGACATCAGGATGACACGATATTCGCGGGAAAACTGTTCTCATAGGGAAGATTTTGTAAAGCAATTTAGAGTTTAATAAGACGCCCTGTGTGTGCATTTATCTCCCAGGATGCCGAAACTGTCACGGCTCTTTGCTCCCATTCACACAAGTGTTGTTTAGCTGCAGCACACAAAGGTCAGAGTAGTGGTTTTGTTTCTTGTCCCTGTTTGTTCATTCACATTGTTATTCACGCAAGAAAACACATAATAATACATTTAATTTATAATGCACTTTATATTTGAAAGCAAATTTCAAAGTGCTACAAAATTAATTCAACCCGAAAAGCTCTGTTAAAAAGATAAGTTTTAAGACCACATTTAAAAGCATCAACAGTCTGTGGCGTTAACACATTAACATTATTCACTTTTTTTTTATAATAAAGAGTACACTTTTGATCTTTTTTGATCTATGTGGGAATGCCTGGTTAAGTCCCCATATCAGTGTAAAAACACAGCAGCTGCATTGGTCAAACAGCATCTTTCCCTGGAGTTAAGCAAACTTCACTGTTCAGGCGTGTTTACTCTTGCATACATGTGACTTAGAAAAACTGGATACCACCCCAGATCACAAAACCACAGTGTCCCGGCACGACTCAGGTACCTTACTTGTAGGTCTTTGTGCGGTCCAACCAAATTCCAGAGATGAGGGAGCCAATCATCCCAGCAATGACGATAGTGAGGCCAATCCTGCCTGCATTCACTTCCTGGCCCTAAGGACAAAGCATGCATGTTCAGTATATCTGTAATGAATATGGTGGGTCAAGCACAGCATCAATCCACCATAAAGTGAGAAGTCAGAACAGCACAGGCTAAGCCAAGTAGGTATTTAATGTCATTTTTAACTATACACAATTAGTACAGTACACAGCTAAAAACGAAACAGCATAAAGCCGTCTGATCAGCACAGGCTGGGTCAGATGTCCGATCGGCACAGGCTGGGTCAGATGTCCGATCGGCACAGGCTGGGTCAGNGATCGGCACAGGCTGGGTCAGTGTAAAGCAAGATGTATGATTGGCACAGGCTGAGTCAGATGCCTGATCGGCACAGGTTGAGTCAGATGTCTGATCGGCACAGGCTGAGTCAGATGTCTGATCGGCACAGGCTGAGTCAGTGTAAAGCGAGATGTCTGATCGGCACAGGCTGAGTCAGATGTCTGATCGGCACAGGCTGAGTCAGACTGAGATGGCTGCTGCATTCTGGTACTTACAGGGTAATGTGCAATTATCATTCTGTTCAGTAAGGTGCCAACAGCGTAAAAGCAGCCCACATTCAACCCTGAATGGAAAGAGTCAGGAAAAGAAAACAATCTCTCTCATCACTAAAACAGACAAATTTTACAAAGAGTGAAAAAATATTTTAAAATAATGATTCTTAAAACCGGTTTCCCACACATACCCGCACTTCGACCATAGACTTTAGCCCACAGGTCCATTTTGCATAATAACTAATTAATCAATTACCTTTGGCCACTTTTGACAAAACATGCTTGACACTACATGAAAACGTGACCCTTCTTTGCCAAACTTTGGATTTCCCAGATACTTGCTTACACAGAAACCAGCATTAGCCTCTGTGGTACTGCTTGCACTCTGTAGGTATTTTCCTCTTACAGAAACATTCCTCTGGCCAAGTAAAGCAGCACTACATGACAGTCACACATTTGGTCATATGCAGACAATGTATACAAAGGGTGCAGTCATAAAGCTAACAGAGGAACGTGCTGAACTCTGCGGTACGTGCTCCACTGTTTATTACACAGCCAAGCACCGATTGGACAAGTAACCTGACCTGTCAATTCTGACAGAGCCTTAATGATCAACTGGGTCGCTCAATAGCATCTGAATGACTTTATACTGTATGTTTCATCCAACTGAGACACCCTGGCTAGCATTAACCCTCAACAAGGCTCTACAGAGAGTGTTTTAAAAGGTACGACACACAGCTTAGAGTGCATTACCTGCCATTACCAATGTTACCACACAATTGGCTTACACATTTGTACCTAAATTATGAAACTTATTAATAGCATTACTTTCTTTTACCAATTAAACATTTTGCTTAAATATGACCAAAGCCAGCTTTGTTAATTTGAAAATTGTACATTGCTATGTCCATAAGCCAGTCATTAAACATGTTTACATGCAGGTCAGGGCTGCTCAGTTCCACTCCTGCAGGGAAATCTGTGTTAGACTCTAGCCCTCCAGGGGAGGAACTGGGCCACCCTGATGTACACAAATAAAGTGGGAGAACCAAAAATAAGTTGCAAAAAGCTTAAGTGCAAAAAATCGTAAGGCAACAGTAAGTGTGTGAAACCTTTACAGCGGTTGACTAGTTTCTCATGGGTCTGTATTCTGAAGCACAATGGTCCTGACAGAAGCACTGAAACATGTGTGGGTGATGTCATGTGGGTGATGTCATTCAGCCTTTAAACGTGAATGTAATGTCTTTAGGTACAAACGAGCAAGCCAAATGTGTGGTAACCATGGGATAAATGTCAGGGTGGCTCTTGTGAATTTAAAAACGTATAACACGCAGCATGGAGTGCATTACCCCTTACTTGGTTCAAATTAAAGATCATAATCATCCACGTATTTATGATTCAATCCAATTAATTTTTATATAGCGTCTTTCACAAGAGAGTCGCCCCAAGGCACTTTATTGGGTGTGTTGTGATACAGTACAACATCAAGACTGAATAATAAAATAAAAATACTATGGTGACACACACCATGTATTTAGAAATCTCCTTGAGCTCATACTTAATAATCTTCATTTGAAATAATCCCTTTTTGTAGCTTTACAATGCAACCTGTTCTTCTTCCTATACAAGGCTACAGTTGGGAATTCACAATAAGGCTTCACACGCAACTTCTAAAGGTGAGGTCAGTATACACAGACAACACTGAGAATTGTGGAGAATCTCTCCTTAAATGCTGATTAAGCACTACAGCTGACTCGTTTACACCAAAAACAAGGGTCAAATAAGACACAGGCAGCCCCCAAGGGGAATGTGATTGGTACTCAAATCTGACACCAAAAATATCACATACTAAATATTTATGAGTGAGTTCTAGTAACAGGACCTGTAGTATGATTAGTATAATAAATAGATAGAGGATTTTGACTTCTGTTTACCAGAGCCGCTCTTATATTAAGCTGCAGAGTCTAGTCCTGGAAAGTATCTGGCTGTAAGCTCAAGCAGGACAATTAACCTAAATGGATTTCATAATTATCTGCAAGTTTAAAATTGTTACAATACATCCAGAACTTTATGCGAACAAAACGACCACTAAGCAAAAAAGCTGTAGTGTATGCTGCACTAAATTACCTCAATATCACTGCAAAACTCCATATTACTGCAGATACTTTTGTCCAAAGCACTATACACAGTGAGCGAGGGAGAATATCACTAAAGTTAATCTTATTCTTAATCTTAATACCAAGCAACCAGCGGTCAAGGGGCCAGCTTTGGTACTTTTAGGCTAAGCCTACAATTAGTGGTTTTGGAACAACTCTCTTGTTGAACTATAAAGTTTTTTTAATATCCCAAATAAAAGCATTTTGTAAGCATTTGAAATGTGTAAGGTAGCACTGTAATCTGCATTATTGCATTACTGAACATAACTGACCAAAAACCATTCACGATTCTAACCAAGAATGGAGTACTAGATAAGAGAGAAAGGCTTCCCCACCATAGCTAACAATGAGGAGGATGAAGGATGTATTCCTCAGCAGTCTCAGGATAGAGGCTCCGTAGGAGTAGTACTCTGCGGACATGCTGCACGCCATCACCTGGGCCTGCGTGGGAGGGACGTCTGGCTTCTCCCGGAAAACTGAGCAATACAGACACTGGGTATCAACAGGACCAGCACTGGCTAGCATGTGAACACAGCAGTAGCAGCACACACACTTATAAAGAGAATTAATCCATTTATCCACGTGTTTATAATTTTTGAGCCAGAATACAATTCACCAAGTCAACTTGGTGTTCTGCATGGTTTATTGGTTATATGACACACATGGAGCACCTCCCTCAATGCCCCCCACAAGAAAAACCCAAATAAGCTAGAGAATGGAGGTTCCGGTGGTGAGGTTTAGGGGCTGCAGACACACATTGGGTCATTGGGGTGGAGACTGAGTCTGCACTCCTTCCTGCTTATAGCTGCCAAGAGGAGGACATGTAGAAAACTTAGGCAACACCATCCCACATGCACATCCGCCATCTGCAGCAAGGCTGGCACAAACCACAGGACACCATGTAAAAAGGAAGAAGCAAAGTTTCGCTTTGGGAAACAATCTTCCAGAACACACCCAAGGTCTGCAAGCCTTGTTCTCTGGTACTCATTTTGTGCAAAGCATCATGGGTTTTATATGGACAGAAGAAGTCTAACACTATTGTATATGTATTATGTATCATAAATGTTTAACTGCTGATAAGACAAAGCACAAACACAGCAATTATCCATAAGGAAATACAATGAGGCAATTAAGCCAAAGCAGTAATACTGCTGTTGACTGGAACATGCCAAGTTTAATCCTGAGATTGTTAGTTCACCCTGATGTTATTTTACTGATCACTGTTCTCTTGTGATGTGTCGAGTGGGGGAGACTAACTCTGGTATCAAGGGGAGACTGACGAGTTCCATAAAACTGCAGCTCCCTCCATCATACAGCTGCTGAAGTGAAGTCCCCTAAGGCTCTTACATGCCATCACCAGGATGAAGAGCACTGTGGCCACCACGGCTGTCCCATAGAACATGACGCTGATGTGGTGAGCCAGCTGGTCCACGTCGTCCACATTGGGCACCAGCATGGGGGGAATCAGGAAGCCAGTGGCCACACCCAGCTGGGGGGAGAGCAGCCAATCAGGACAAGATGTCAAAACACGGCAGCCATGCCAATGTCAGAAAGCAACATCACAACTTATACATATGCATCCATTTATAATTATTATACAGGTTTTGAGAAAAGGAGGAAACATGCTATCAGTGATTTTGCAGGACAAATAAAGTAAAAAAAGAAATATGTGTAGAACAAGACAGGGAACCACAGGCAGACCCACTTAAATGGAACTCTGGAATGAGGGTAACAAGTGACAAAAGGTAAAAGACATGAATATGAATCCCTCAGTATTTACTCACTTTGCTTCAATGTAATTTATTTATATAGCTTATAGTGGTGACCCATAACAGTGTGAAATAGTGTTACTACCGCAGTCGCTTTTTAAAGTAATAATTCCCTAAATTTCAATACTATGGAAGCACGTAGAGGACATGCATTCAGGGCTTGAGATTCATGTCTCACAATAGAGAACGGGGGGGAGGATTTTAGATTTTCAATTAAAAAATCAATTCAATAGCTTTAGCCATGGCATTTTTGTGGAATCCGCTTCTCTCTTGACAAATACTGCTTGTATGTCTTCTAATAAATTTTGTTTTCTGAGACATTTTCTTGATCACAAAATAAACTTGTGATCTTGGAAAAACAAGAAAAATAAGCAGTGAACCCAATATAAAATATAGAAATAAGATAATGATGGATGTCCTCTGTGGACTTTCGTACAATGCAGAGTTCATAAGTAGTTGTCCATCGACGTGAACATTAAGTAAACAGGCCACGTTTGGGTGCACATTCCCATGAACGGGCCACATTAAAAGCGGGTGCACATTCCCATGAACGGGCCACGTTAAAAGCGGGTGCACATTCCTGTGAACAGGTCTGAGACATCACTCACCACAGTCAGAGCATACACTGAGACGACAGATAAGGCACTTACAGAGTCTCATAATACGCTTGTTGAAAGGACTGACATAAGACACCATCAGTAGGAGCTGATCCGCTACAGCAACAGCTACTCCCGGAGTATGGCAGCCATCTGAGGGACCAGACCAATAATATGTGTACCCACCTACAGAGATCTGCCCACTCCCCGGTCTACGTACCTCAGAGAGTGTCACCACCGAAATGCGGAGTTTACAAAGCACCTCCAACAGCAGAGGAAGATGGTCATCTTGCCGGAGAGACAAGACGTTCCACATGCCTTCCGATTGGGACCCAGGTGCTGACATGTAGCTGCTGACGCCCCAGCACCACATCAGTACTGACCCCCAACAGGCCTGTCCCTAAAGGCTCTCCGGTAGTTTCAACTTTTCAGAGGATGAGACTCCCGAGGGCTTTCTCCCATTCCCCTAATGGTGCATGCAGCCTTCCTGTGAGCAGCTGCAGCAGAACTACTCCCATGGAGAGCAGAAAGGTGTCCTATCTGTCTGGTCAGAGCTGTGTGAAGTTTTTACAGGGTTTAGAATACCAATCCCGGCCCCAACCCCCAAATTTTGCCCTGCAAGTCTGAGGACCACTAGCAGGGGCAGATGCAGCTTATCGTCATACCCAGGAACAACCAACTTATTAAAAACCTTTTATTCCACAAGAATAAAAACATTTAAAGTCCTTATATTCACGTGTCTCAGTTTGTCCTGATTAGTGCTGCCATCCTTATTATATATCATTTATGTGTCTTCTGACATAAAAGCTTATATTCCTGGAGACAAGGAAAAACTAGAATGGACACAATGATTATTAAAAATAGGAAAATACAACTGACTCAATCAGATAGCAATTTCAATGTGGTGATTAGCTCAAAGTACAATTAACACAGTATACTGTAATATAACTTTTACAGGCATTAAGAGGCTGGCTCTTACTCTACAGTCAATACAATAAATTGATACTACTATGATATTAGCTTGTCTATATGAGTATTTCTGCAACAGTTGGGTTGAACTTCCCATCTCTGCAGCACATGTTCTCTGCTACGGGCAGGCAGGACAAGTCTTTCCTTGGGTTCTCTTGAAAATGAAAGTTCACCAGATTTTCGCTGCTTCAGCTTGGCACGACAGCCCTATTATCTGAGATGCTGCAGTTTCCTTTTCATACTCCGAGTGATTATAGCTGACAACAGAGCAAGCTGGGCTGATGGACTCTTCTTTCCCTCTGTCATGCTTGGTGGTATCCAGCACATCTTAAATAACAAACAGGTTGCCGCTTCAAAGATCACCTCATTATCAGACTTCAGCTGCAGGAATCTGCCAGAACCATCCATGATGGCTCAGTTACAGCATTAGTAAAGAGTTTTAGTTTTAAGCTAATGTTGTTTCATTGACTATCATTGCAGATTTTGGTCACCACAGCAGTGAAACACAGCAGAGCATTTTCCCACCCCCCTAAAATTAACAGTGCTATAAATATTCAAAGATTGGGAAGTTACTGTTATGTCTTTTATTTCCTAGCTGCAGCTAAGAACTTGGAAAGAACTGCAGAATGACACGATTTCTTACATTGCCTAGACGTGTTCCCCCAAAGCTTGGATTGCACAGTGAACCCAAGCAGCTAGCATGCATGTGTGCTAGCATGCATGTGTGCGCGCATGTGTGTGCGTGTCTGCATGTCTAATGATAAACCTGCAGCTCACTCACCAACAACGTAAGCCGCAAAAACAAAAGCAGACACATACAGATTATGATTCCCGCTCTCTGCTCTTCTGACTTGTGAATGCAAAGCAACTTTAGCAGATCCTTCCACTAAAGGCGTGACATTCATACTGTCCTGGGCAGTGATGTCAGGGAAGCGCACTTGTAATTTTAAAGATTGCTGGTTTGAATCCCCAACCAGCAAGGCACCACTGAGGTACCCTGAGCAAGGTACCACCCACAAGCAGTGCTCCCTGGGCGCTGAATTAGCTGCCCCCTGCTATATCACATATGGGTTAAATGCAGAGGACACATTTCATTGTTGTGTGCTGTGGTGTGTCAACAATGACCACTGATCTCTAAATTCTAAAACTTTCAGAGTTGCCATGTTCACAGTTAATCAGCAAATTACAAGTTTATAGTGAATAATTCAGAACAATGTATACTATATCTTCAGCATTGTAGTACAGCTATCAATTAAAAAAAACAAGGTGAAGTTATTTGTGGACCTCTAAAGTCACACCGTTTTTGGAAAAGCTGTTGCTCTTCCTAAAGTAGCTTCACTTCAAGCTACATGGGGGTACAAGAATGTGCTGTGTGTGTGTGCACACAAGTCTGTTCCTTTTACTGATCTATAAATACTTGTAGTTCTTTACGGACAACCTAACACTATCCATCCGTCCTGCATTTTTCTGTCATACTCTCACTGCATGCTGCAGCGTTCTTGCATTCTCTATTCTCCCGTACTCTCATGACACGTTGCAACATTCTCTTTTCTCCTAGAATAGAATAGAATAGAATGCCTTTTATTGTCATTATACATTTTTTACATATACAATGAGATGAAAAGCATCTCCTTGGGTCAGTGCTCAAACATATACATATAAAATATAAAAAGAGAAGTAGTATAAAAGTATGTGTAAAATATGTATAAAAATAAGCAATGTAAACAAATAGAAAGTATTAAAGTGACAGTGTAATATATCTTATTGCACAAGCATATGTATATAAAGTGAACGAATGCACAATTTCACATTGACCGGATTATTACACAGTGATAATATATAATAAATAGATGTGGTAAGATTTTTTAGTGTATATACTCTAAATACTAAATACTATATACTATACTCTTACGGCATGCTGCAATGTTATGTTCTCTATTCTCCCATACTCTCATGACACGTTGCAACATTCTCTTTTCTCCTATACTCTTACGGCATGCTGCAATGTTATGCTCTCTATTCTCCCAAACTCTCGCAGCATGCAAGCTTTGGTCACTGTTTGACTGACCAGAATTTTCCATCTCTGCTCATTTGCACATTTTTTCCCCCATTCGGTAGTCTACATATTCAAGAAAAATGTTCTGGCACCTTTAAGTAATGGCAAGTTTCAGATAGCTGTGTAATATGCTCCTTACCCTTAAAATTACACAATAGCTGAATGAAATATGTATCTGTAACAGATTTCTTAACCCTCAGGCAGAGAATCTGCTGTGAGCAAGAACAAACCCTCAAATCCAAGTAACAGGACAGTGTTTCTGAGTAACAGAAACGCTGAGTTTGAGCCATAAGACTGGGTCAGAACATTGCCTACACTGCAAGGCTTGTGGGGTGCTCATGGTCAGCCATGGTGAATAACTACTGAGAATGGTCCGAGGAGGACAGAACAACAAACTGCCAGTAGGGTGCTGGGTGGTCAAGACTCATCAATACAAGATGTGCACGAAGGCTGTCCCATCTGGTACAAACCAACAGGAGGGCTACTGTGGTACAAATATCAGATCATTTTGAGGGTGGTTGCAGGAGTAAAGCATCACGACACAGTGCACAATGCAAACAACAACAAACAAATTTATATTTGTATAGCGCATTATCACAACATTACATCGTCTCAAAGCGCTTTACAGCATCCCTGCCCAAAGCCCCCAGTGAGTAAGCCATAGGCGACAGTGGCAAGGAAAAACTCCCTAGAAGGAAGAAACCTTGGGAGGGACCAGACTCAAAGGGGGAGCCCATTCTCCTGGGGCCGACAAGTAAAGTCAAATCGGAGAGATGGCTAAGTGGCAAGTCACACAGTATAAGTCATAAAATATGAGTCACAATCGGGTAGCAGGGAGGTGATGACAAGTGCTCCTTCAGATCGCCGGGCAACCAGTAGTATGGCATCCGGGCATACATGGAGGACAACACAGGTAGAAGGGAGTGCTAGACAGAAGGACGCCTTGGGTAGTGGAGACGTCGCAAGTAGCAGGGTGTGCAGGATATCTTGATAAATTGGGGCTCCAGGCAGCACACCCCAGGAGGAGTAGGGGAAATAAAATGTGCAATTAGTCAAAGTAAGGGAGACAATAGGCAGTGCTAACAGTTAGGTGAGTGCA